TTCGTAGACCACTATGTACTAGTCGTTCCTTTCGTGCTGTTGGAAGATGCCGATATTCTCTACCCGGTTCGCTCTTTTGTCGGACGTTTGGCTCGCTAGCGGTGCAAAATGTTCCTCTGTAGAAAGCCGGTACAGTAAATCGCCCTGATCTTTATGGACGTACGTTCGTTGGATCTCAGTCGGTTTGGTCTTCAATAAAAATGTACTTTATTGGAACTCATAAGGATAGCTTGCTTGGTTTAGTTTTTCTTCTCTTATGGGCGACGTTTTTAAGTGAAGCTTTCTTGAAGGGATTATCTTAAACCCTTCATTACTTTGTCACTGGGTATGCGCTTAAACTAGTTACATTAAGAAGCGTACAGTGATCTTCATATAGAACCGCTGTCACAGTGATATGTGTATCCCCGTGATATGTGTATCCCCGCACACATATCACTAGTGATATGTGTATCCCCTGTGGGGATACACAAAACANCGATATTCTCTACCCGGTTCGCTCTTTTGTCGGACGTTTGGCTCGCTAGCGGTGCAAAATGTTCCTCTGTAGAAAGCCGGTACAGTAAATCACCCTGATCTTTATGGACGTACGTTAGTCGGATATCAGTCGGTTTGGTCTTCAGTAAAAATGTACTTTATTGGAACTCGTAAGGATAGCTTGTTTGGTTTCAGTTTTTCTTCTCTTATTGGCGACGTTTTTAAGTAAAGCTTTCTTGAAGGGATTATCTAAAACCCTTGATTACTTTGTCACTGGGTATGCGCTTAAACTAGTTACATGAAGAAGCGTAGAGTGATCTTTATAGAACCATTATTCATGCTAGCGAACTAATTATGCAAATAATGTGTTCTTCTGTAAAATCAAATGCCGATAATTTAAATACGTTGTCTTGTATACAATGTGTATAAAATCTAATACATGAACATAATTCTTAAATTTAACGGTAGTTGAAAACCTTCCAAACCTATAAACAAATCATTAGTAAAATCATATTCAGCTGTGAAACCTGCTCCCTAACTGAAATTTTTTGTGTAAATATACGAGATCGAGTGGGCGTCTGGTTTTCCGGGAATTCGGTCGACGTTTCGACACGTTTCCCCAAGATAAAAACGGCTTCAAAATATCATGAAAGGTTACGGAGGCAAAAATATAACCGACAACCTCAATTAAAATTCAGTTATGTGGTAAAATTTAATTATCAAAGTCTATGTATAATTCTGCATCATTTCTCCCAGCCATAAATCATGCGATCAGTTGGCCAAATAAACACGCTGAACTAAATTAAGTAACGACGTTTTATCGACTTCTGGCTTTCGGTTTAATACAAACTAGACGAATGAAGTTCAAAGAAGTTCTTGGATCAGAAACCATACAATTTACGTCAGCGGCGATTCAAAAGGCATGCGATATCCTGCCATCTAACTCAAGCTTAAAATTTTCGGGGAGAAGCTGTTTGAAGTGGTACTGAACAGACTCGATGCAAACTCAAATTAATCAGGATTATTCTCTAATTAATGTGTATCGACACTCTCGTTTTGATCATATCTCCTTTATATCCCAATAAG